CTTGTTCATGACGTGGAGTTTGGATTAAAATGTTGTCTAAGGTCCCTTCCAGCCTAGGCCAGTCTATGATTCCATGATTCTATGATTTGTTCAAGCCTTGATCCCTCTATCTCTCTCCGTGCCTCAGTTTCCCCTGGGAAGGAGAGAAGAGGAGGGAGCCAGAATAGCGAGTTAACAACCGCTCTCGGTCACAGGAATGAGAATCACTAGAGGATGGAAAACGCAAAAAAAGAAGACGGAGCGTTAATATTATTAAAGAAGAGAAATTATTAAGAAGGAGAGGGTAGAGCCACGATGGAGGGGTAGAGGCGGGGGCCCCGCCCGCCCCCCCCTGGCCGCCTCCGTGAAGGGTATTTATGGATGAATTAACCCAAGAGCCATCGTTCACAGCCTCTGCCTGTTTTATCTCCCAACAAACTGCCCTCGTCGGCTGGGATGATCTCCCCAAAAGCAGCAGATACCGACAGCTCCTCGTTCCTGTTCTGCAAACCCACTGTGAAATAAGGGTAAACCCTTCCCGGGCTGGCCAGAAATCTCATCCTGGACCCGAGGGGCTCATCCTAAACCCAGCAATCCAAACCAGCTGAGCCACGGCCAAGAAGAAACCAGGATGGATCTTCTTCGCCTGAGGCCACCTGCTCGGTGGTAACTCATTGTGGGGATGGGGTTTTTTTGGGAATATGGAGCTAAAAGGGTGAGGAGATGGGGTCCCTGGCTCTCAGCTTTGGGGGAGCGGAGTCTGGAATGCAGAGCTCAGCGAGAAGTGGGTAGGACTGGCGAGGAAGATGATGGAGAAGCATGCAGGCAGCGGGGCGGGGAAAGTGCCCGGCGCTCTCCTAGGCTGAAAAAAAATCAGGAACGGTAAAAAGGCAGCGACAGGAACCAGCAGCTGGGATGGGAAACCACGTCCTGAAGATGAGAGCCAGCTGTTTGCCGGCTCCGTGCTCTGGTGCCAGCCCTGCCCTGGTGCCGAGGAGGAGGAGGAAGGCAGGAGGGCAGCGTCTGCCCAAATATCCATTGAGCCCTGCACCGGCTGCTGGCCAGCACTCTCCCAAGATGCTGGAGACAACCCCGATGTCCTCAAACGACCCTGGAAACTTGTCCATCTCCCTGCACGCTTTCCTAAAAACCCCTTCCTACCCTGCCCTGCCCTGGCGGAAAGCTGCAGGGCCAGGAGGAGGACGCCGGCTCCTCGGGTGTGGTAACGGCTGGGGACAATTCACGTTCACCGTCAGCTCAAGATTTCCGTACCTGCTTGAATACCAGCTCCTGATTTCATTTCCGTACCTGTTTGAAAATAAAGCAAGTGTCCACAGCCTTGCACAGCCCAAGCGCACGCGTCGGTCTTCCTGAGCTCTCAGCCCTCCGCTCCGCTCGTCCCCGTGAAGGGGACGTCCTCTGGCCACCCTACGGCATCCTCGGCCGCCCCTACCGCGTCCCCTCGCAGGGCCCTAACAGGGACGCTCGGAGCTCCGATGTGGAGCCGCTTTGAGGACTCGGGAGGTTGCGGCGTTGCCGGCTCGGCTCACCCGGCTGCCCTCCGCTGGGCCCCGGGTTTGCCGCCGAGCGTTGCCGCTGACTGGCAGCCGACCTGGAAAAACCACTGGCTCTGTTTGCATTGGAAGAAGCCCAAGGCTAATTTTAAGGGGTTCATTTAGCTCTGATTTAATCTGGACGGCGGCCTCGCCTATAAATCACGGCTTAATGAGAACAATCCACCTGCCTGCCCCGGCATTTAATAAAATACAAGAGCACTGGAGTCCCTCCAGGAGCCAAGCGTTCCTCACAAAAGCCATCTCCCTCCCTTGCTCTGGAGACCCCTGGGAGAGGAAAACCCCTGAGAACCTCTCGAGGTGCCTTCAAGGCTGGGGGGGTAAGAAAACACGTGCTGCTGGCTGGGGTGGAGCGTTGCCTCAGCCCTAATGCCTTCCTCCGGCTCACTCCCATCCCCGCGGAGCAGGGGAAGGTCTTGTAGGAGTTCCCGTTTCTCCAAAGCTACTGGTGATCGTCCAACCTGCGGTGGTGGCATCGCCTCGTGTCACCGGGCAGGGAGCAACTTCAATGTGACGAGTAATATCGTATCGAAATCCACAGGGCTTGTCCCACCTCCCGACCATCTACCAGGACCAGGTAACCCTGAGGACGCAATCCTACAGCTAGCTCAGTACTCTTTGACACCCCCAAGAGCTTTTTCAGAGCCCCCTCCTGCCTCTCACAGCATCTCCCCGCTCTTTCAGCCCGGCCAAGCGCTAATTCCTGCCACCCAACAGCCCCCGCCGGCTCCTCGAGCAATGCCCACCTTGTTCTTTGAGCCGGATGATCTCCGTGTCGGAGCCAAAGCTGTTCCAAGCGGTGCAGTTGTAAATGGTTTGGAAATCGGCCCGCACGATATTGCTGATGGTCAACGTGGAGATAACCCCCTCGTCCGTGCTGACCGTCTCCACCGTGTAACGCCCGGAGGTGCCAGATTCCAAGACGTTCTCCTTCCAGGACCAAGCCTGTCAAGAAGAGAGGGGTCAGCTTGGGAGGTGGGTTTGCTCACCCTAGGGCACCCTGAGGCGTGCCGTGCCCCACGGGGTGCTACTCACGATTCGGTCTGGTGGAGGGGTGCTGCGGATGAAGCACTTGATCTGCCCTTTCTGGCCGTGCAGGGCGTGCTGCGTCTGCGTGCTGGAGATGATGGGTGGCCCTGCAAGAGAGAGAGAGGAGGGGGCTGCTGGGAAATGTCCTTGTCTCACCTTGAGGGGACACAGAATCATAGAATTGTTTTGGTTGGAAAAGACCTTTGAGATCATCAAGTCCGACCGTCAGCCCAGCAATGCCAGGTCCACCATGAAAAAAGACACGGTTGGGAGAAAAGGTTCTCCATGTTCTGAAGACACGATTGAGAGAAAAAGTTCTCCACATCCTGAAGGCACAGCTGGGAGAACCACAAACAGCACCGGGCTCCATGGTGGCTGCGCAAAGTGGAAGAGCTGCAACAGGAGGTGCTACAAGGGGGCCACCTCAGACTTCTGAAATTTTCCCAGTAGCACCTTCCTGCACTGAACTTTCACACCTCCCACTGAGATACAGCCGGGCCCCTTCTTCCCTGCGACATTCCAAGGGGAGCTGCATGGAAAACCAGGAGCTGCACATGAAGAAGGCCAGGACTTGTTTTGATGGGATGGTCGTAGCTCTACGTCAGTGGAAAAAAAACAACAGAAAAGACGTTTTGCTGTGGTTTTCCACCCAAAAGCTCTTCTTCACGATGTTCCCCACCGGGGTTGCAGGCGAGTTTGGATGACTCCTTGCTTGGCCTCCCTTCAGGAGGCACCTCGTCTTCATGAAGTAGCTCTCTGCAAGCTTGCCCAAGGTGGCAACGCTTTGGCTTTCGCTCCTCGTGTCCACTGCAAGAGTCAGATGGCCCTAAAAATGTCCTCAGGCTTCCTCCTCCTGGATGGGACATGTGACGGGGACCCGTTTGATCTTGTTGTCCTCCAAGGGTGGCACAAGGCACACAGGATGAGCTTCCTGGCTAGTTAACCCTCCTGCTCACTGATGGAAGCCAAAAGAGGCGAGAGAGACGACGAGATCTGTGGGCCAGGCTTAAATAATAATAAAAATAATTTTAAAAAACCCCTCTTCTTTCTATTCCAACCGTTGTACGTTACTTATAAATTCTGGAAGCGCTCCAAGCCTGGGTGACACTGGAGAAAAATGACTTAATAATCATTAAAAAAGATCATTTTCCCCAAGGCGAGCGGATTTTAAATGGCACCGACGCCAGCGGCGCTGGGTTTTATTATCGCTTCAGGAGTTCGGAGCGGAAGCCTTATCGTCACGATAATAGCGTATGACTAAAGACCATGGGTGAGAGGAACATGCCCAGAAATAATAACATGAAGTCTCAACCTCTTCGTTTTTGGGGCCGGCTGCTTGATTCTCCACCAGGCTCTGGTTCCTCACGAAAGCTGCCGATCTCCATCTTGGCATTTGGTGCCACGGGCAGGAGAAAACCTTCACGTGATGTTGCCACGGATATCAAGGATGGAGCCACGATGAGTTGCCGGTATTTTTAGCGCGCCGGCGGATTGCACCAAAGAGAAGGCAGCTTGTTGGCTCAGGAGCCTTGGAGGAACGAAAGGATGGGGCCTCAGCTTCTCCAGCCTGCTCGAGTCCATCTGAACCTTTCCTCCTCGCAACCTTGGAAATGGTTTGGTGGAAGAGTCAGGTTGGCTGGAGCTTCAAGGGGTCACCTCAAAGTCGCCATCCGAGTGGTGACGCGCTAGACGTGAACAGACACTTCTAAAATGCCTGATTTTACTGTGATGAATCCCAGTACCAAGACAATTGTATCACCACTTGAAAATATGAGGTGTTCCGACTCCCATCTGAAACTACAGCTGAAAAGACTCTTCCAGAGGAATTCATTAGCTGGATTAGCCACACCGTGCCCTGCTCCCGGAGCTGCTCTGGCTGCAGGAGTTGCTGCGAAGCCGTGGTGTTTGGTGGATATTGAACGTGGGATCGCTGCTCCTGGGCTCGCCCACCTTGGTTCTCCTATCTCGGAGGGCCAGGAGACCACCTCGACCTGGAGCTGTGGGATTTGCCCTTGGTGTAGGGTCCAAAGCTCTTTGGGAGAAGACTTTTTTCCACGCTCCAAATTCTGAATGGCCGGGGAGCCTGCCGAGTGCTTCTGCCGCCTCCCCGGTAGGTGCCGGGAAATGAGCAAGTTCGTTTTTTGTGCTAATTTGTTGCTTTGTTTTGCGCGAGCTGGTTTAATGGTAATTAAAACCCAGCAGCTGCCGGGGAAGGAGCGTGCAGGCGCCAAGGAGCTGAGTCGAAGGCAAGGGAGCGGTTGGTTTTCAGTCCCCTGCTGCGTCGCCCTCGGCTTTCCTTTCCAGCGTTACGGAATAAGAGGATAGTTTGGGTCGGAAGGGACCTTTAAAGGTCACCTAGTCCAACCCCCAGGGCTGTCTTCAACTAGATCAGGTTGCTCAGAGCCCCCTGCAACCTGACCTTGAATGTTTCCAGGGATGGGGCACCTCCCCATCTGCATTTCAAACGAGCTCTGTGCTGCTTCCCCACTTATTTTCTTCTCTTTGCGACACCGAACCGGGACTGAAGCCGGTCGGTTTGTCATGCAGGTGAGAGATGATGAAAAATTCAGACTCTGCTTATCCCATCTGCAGCCTGCCTGGCTCTTTCCTTTTCCACACTGAGGTGGAAATTCGTTATCGGGGTCCCAAATGGGTCCTCATTAAACTGCAAGGCTCTGGAGCGTTTCTCGGCTGGGTGCGAGTTGCATCCTGACACGGTGCTGGACTAGGTGACCTTTAAAGGTCCCTTCCAGTACCTTTTAAGGGCCCCTTCCACCCCAAGCAGCCGTGGAGGATCTCCTGCTGCTCGCTGGTATCCTCATATGGGCTCAGAGAGAGCGATCATTAGGCTGCCGGTCTCGGATCCAGGCTCAATTCCCAGCTCTCCGGCTGTACAACGGAGACAACAGCGCTCTCCGACCTTGCAAGGGGTTTCGCAAGATAAATCTATTAAAGATTTAAAGGTGCCAGCTCCCAACTACTCAGTAACCCCCTGTTGATAATAAGGAGCCAAGTAGGTCTTGGATAATGTGTTTTTTTTTCACTTTAACCCATACATCTCCAGGCAAAAGAACATAGAATCCTAATTTACTCGCCCTGCCTTCAGGGCAGGATCCTCCCTGATCCAACTGGGGGTGGGATTTTCTCCAAAAACGAATATCCAAGGGGAAAATTGGGCACAGTGAGTGGCAAGAAGGCAACAAGGTGGACACAAAGGAACGGCGACAGGAAAGCGAGAGGTACCGTTGACGGTGAGTGTCACCTCCCGCTCTCCCGCGCCGACCCGCGGCACCACGGCTCGGCACACGTATTTCCCGGCGTCTTCCTGCCGGACGGACTTCAGGGTCAGCTTGTTCTCGTTGCTCAAGACCTGGAAGAGAGGAAGGGGGGGGTTGCTTTCAGAGCAGGGAGCGACAGCA